TGTCGAGGATAAGGACTTTCCCCTTGCTGTGTCGCTTTACACTCGCGCGCTCATCGACCACCCTTACTCCCCGGATTATTTCCACCAGCGGTCGCTCGTATTCACACGTCTCTCGCCACCCCGTTATGACCTCGCTCTGAAAGATGCAGAGTATGCCCTTCTTCTTGCCAAGAAACGTGAAAAGAGGGAGAAGATCCAGGCTGCACAACAGCGACGACTCGTGGCTCTCTACGGCCTCGGACGGTACGCAGATGCCAAAGCAGTTTTACAGATGATGGAGAAATGGAGAACGACCAAATCTGCACAGATGGAGGGGAAGATGTGGCTAAATAGGCTGGATGGGAAATTGAAAGATGCTCCCGAGTCTGAGAGGGTGTCGTCGGTGAAGGAATATCCAGCGACCGACCTACCTAGTGAGACACAAATGAAGGAGTGGCTTAAGACACAACTAAATCCGGATGGATCTTTCAAGTTCGACAAAGACAAAGACGTCGAGGTGACCGCTCCCGACGCCGCTGCCGATACCACTGGTACCACCAAGCCGGACAACGATGAGACAAAACCCACCGCTGCTCCATTCAAGATTCGACACGAATGGTATCAATCTACCCAAACAGTCACTCTGACACTGTACGCGAAAAATGTCCCCAAAGACGCCTGTGAGATAAATATTCAGGAAGACTCTGTGTCTGTCTCCTTCCCCCACCCGTCTAACCCGTCCTCCACTTTTCAATTCACACTCGACCCGCTCTTCGCTCTCATCGATCCATCTCAAAGCCGATACGCTGTTCTATCAACGAAGATCGAGTTGACGCTGAAGAAAGCGCAATCGGGGAAGTGGCATGAGCTGGAAGGCGTTGCGCCGCTAAAACCAATGTCTTCCGAAGCAGATAACGAAACAGGGTCAGTGGGAGGTGAGCGAAAGCCAACGTTAGTGTCAACAAACACTTCCTCGTCGGCCACGGCAGTTACACAACCAACTGTGGTGAAGGACAATCCCCCTTCGTACCCAACCTCCTCCCGCCATGGCCCAAAGAACTGGGATAAACTCGCCGACGAACTCCACGCACGAGCCAAGCAGGAAAGCAAGCCAAAGTCGAAAGAGACGGGCAAATCCAGTCCTGATGACCCTTCGAAAGACAAGCCTGCCAGCACTTCCGACACTCGTGCAGATCAAGATAGTGACTATGATTCGGAGTACGACGGGGGCGATGCGGTGGACGGATTCTTCAAGAAGCTTTATGCCATGTCGGACGACGACACACGTAGAGCGATGGCTAAAAGCTTCTACGAGAGTAACGGAACCTCGTTAAGCACCAACTGGAAGCAAGTCGGGTCAAAGAAAGTCGAGGAAGTCAAGAGTTCCCATGATTGAGAACGTTAAGGGTTTGCGTTGGCTCAATGTATGACTGGAGTTCGCGATGCGGTAGAGGCATGGCGTGAAGGAGAGTTGTGTGTCCATATGCCACGGCTCGTGACGACACATGGAGACTGGACGAAGGTGTTTCTGGCGCATGCAGGAGTTTCTGACATACGGATTTGCCAACCAACGAACGACTGAACGAGACATCCCTCCCTGTACCAACATCAGCAGCAACAAATCAGCAACGAAAAGGGCACGAGAATGAGACTGAGATGGTGAAACGAGGAACGAAGGATGAACCCGACGGATGAACGCAGCCGGTTGTATGTATCAGCAAGAGACAGATACACAGGACAGCGAGTCTACGGGGGTCGGTCGACCATGCTTCGTCTTAACGGAGCTGTCCCATCCATTCATCCATCCATACCTAGGTACCATGTAGGTATTGCACAGTGTAATCAATTGCCCATGGACTCGGAATGCGATTCCGTACATGTAGGGGTACAGTCCAACACAAGTGCGAAATGTATCCAACCATCCATCCACCAACCCATTCAATCATTTCATTCATCTCTCCCGCCTCAAGCATCTGTTATGTGTACGATGATTCTTCCTCTCTCTGTCTCTCCCGCTTCACCCTGACTCCTCGGGGCTGCCTCCTTTGCGCCTCCTTACCTTACAGTACTTTAACCCTTTTTTTTTTCTCTCCCCTTTCAGCCCCTGTCCATATCTCGACGGTCTACCTATCTCGTGGATAGTTGAATGGCTATCATGGAGAGAGTGGAGTGGAGAATTTTCATAGACTGGCAAGGAGAAAAGTGAAAGGGGAAAAAAAAGAGGAGAAATAGAGGCGTGAAATAAGAATGAAGAAAAAAAAAGTGTGCCTAGGATGTAGGTAGATATTAATGGGATGGGATGGGATAAAGATAGGATTAGAGTGGGATGGGTCGGTGACGATAAAGACCGCCAGGGTCTGACAAACATCATATCATTGAGCGTCCGTCTGGTGGTACACTGTCTTCTTTTCTGTCCCGAATGGCAGAAGCCTCTCCTGGCTAGCCCTCACTTTGCCCCTTGCTTTTAGTCCTTCCGCCACCCTCCCTCCCTCACTTGCGCCCTCGCGTCCCCCACACGTCTCTCCCTTTCCAATGATTCAAAGAATAGTACACGTGTTGACATTCCTACCTACACGCGGCGACCACGCCAGGTCTCTGGTGCGAACTCGGTGTGACCCCGTACCCTGTCCCGGCGGCGGCGGCAGTACTGGTGCTGGTACTTCCCCTCGTCACGACAGACACGGTCCGCTCAGTGCCGTAGCTGCTCGCCGAGTAGATGCTCGAGGGAGTCGTGCTGTTCTCGCGCCGCCAGACGCGTTGGTGCTGGTAGTGCTGCAGGGGCAGTTGGTTCTGGGTGGTCGACAACCCGTGGGTGGCGGGTTGTTGGTGGTAATGATGAGGGTGGGGATGGTGATAGTGCCGGTGACGGATGGGGCTCGGTCGGCGGAGGTTCGACCGCGAGGTAGTCGCCGATGTTGAGGCGGACCTTGAACGACTTGCCGTCTTGGTGCCTGCGCTGGACTGCGACCTCGCCCTCGGAGTTGTTGTTGAGTGACCCGGTGCGCGAGCAGGGATGGCAGGTGCTGTTATCGCCAGTGCTGGTCGGTGAATGGGAGGTGCTGGTGGTGGTACAGAGGGCATTGGTGTCGCCGGCTTTCTCGGTGAGATTGCTTCCGTGGTGGTCTTCATTGCACGCTTCATCGATGCACATGGTGTTGTTGACGAAGGGTGGGAAGCTTCACCTTTTGTTTTGGGGGCCATGGCCAATGTAGATGCAGTGTGGACATTTTCGGCCTGGACGCCTCGCAAGTCTGGAGATGACTTTGAATGCAACAGCGATGGTGCCAAACCAGAACCGGTGCTCAAAGCTCGAATAGTAGGATCCGCGCTCAACGGCGCATGCTGCAAGGCTGGAGACCAGGTCGGAGCTGGAGCGACTGGTAGAGGTGGGACCTCGGGTACACCACTATCGCTGGTCGCAGATATCGTCGCAGGATCCCGGCGCAGGTCACCCCTTTCTGGATTGCTATTTGCTCGGCTGCGTGGGCGCATCGGGGATGGATGAGTCGGACGCCTTGTACTGGCCGAGCGAGAAGACTGCGAGGAGCAGAGGGACGAATTGCGATCATGCAAGTCCAAGCTTTGTCCCTCGGAGACCGAGCGCAGGGTGCTCGAATAACGGCTGCCCTGTGACAAGGCATAAGGTTGATACTTGTGCCGGTGGTCGTAGTAGTAGTATTTGTGTGGATAGATGGCCTTTTGAGACGACAGGCTGTTGCGACGCTGTAGCCATTGTTCGTGCTCCAACCTGCTTGGGCGGCGTTCGGGGATGAGGAAGAGATGGTCATTCTTCTCAACCGAGAAAGCAGAACGGCTGCTTGAGATGGAAAGAGCTGGAGCATGTGCCTGGGGAGCATTGCGAGACAGACAAGCACAGTAACAGTTCCAGACACCCGCTTTACGGTGAGATAGGTGTTGCTGATCCAAGAAGGAGAGGCAGGCCATGAATATGCTAGTAGATTACAGGAGTGTCAGCGAATTTGTCCCACAAAGGAGATTCTGAGGATACACTGGGAGCTGACTTACGCCATCAGGACAGACAAAGCCACCAGAGCGCGGTGCAGCCGGCAGGAGAGACCAAATCTCCAGTTGTGCTCTTTCAAATCATTCTGCCATTCCTCCAAGGGCCCTCTTAGACAAGTGGGTGCTCGGAGTGCGACAAGAAGATTGAGACAGCCCAGGATCATCCAGAGAAACACCAGGACTTGGACACACGTAGTACAGAGCGCTTCCAGCCTTGGTGATGCCGTCGAGGGTGATATGGTCTGCAAAACCTTGCTTCTCTGTCGGAACATGAGGTAACATCGGATCGCCATGATGATAATCGTAAGTAAGGACTGGAATCACAGTTAGGAACTTTCCTCAACACAAGGTATGACTTGAATTGAGCTGTCTGCTCACGACTGACAAAAGCAATCGACAGATTTACACCTGAAGATGTGGTAGAGCAGACAGCTCCTTTCGCTCGTAGGAACACCGCCGTGCATAGTATGCTATAGGCGAGAGTCAAGTTGATACAGACGCTGATGATTCTGTATGCTGTCGTGCTCTTGTTGCCCTGGCTGGCCATGATAGTATGCTTCTGATAAGAGAACATGTTGCTTTGCCATCAGCTTGGAGAAGAAGATAGTGGCCATCTTCAAGTCCTTTGGCGCGACGCCCAAGGGAACCCGTGAAAAATTCATAGCTGCCATTTACAAGAATGCTCGCATAGAATGATAGGCAAGGGTGGGATGAATGTGGTCAAACTGGGGAGCAGGTGGCTGGATAAATTCCTGTAGGAGTTGAGGGGGTCGGAACAAAGAAATAGAAAAAGAAAAGGGAGGTTTTGGAGCGCAGGGACCCTTGATGACACCAGGTTTCGGTCGAGGAATTTGTCTGTCCTACCTTTCCCTGCCCTTCCCTTCATGTTTCTAACCCAAACGAGAACCAACAGGGGGTATCATAGAATAGAATGCAATCCAGGGATATCGCCGTTTCGCCAAATGTCCAACACTCGTAGCCATCGTGTCATCTGATCGTCATTCCATTTCCAATCCGACATCGTCATCCATCAAGTTCTCTTCATCAACGGCATTCTCCTCGTCACCTCGATCGTCAAGTGAGCCTTCCAACAAGGCTCTAGCATACTTTGTGTCCACCTTGTAAAAGTCATGAATCTCCGAAACAACGATTCTGATACCACCTGCGTGTCGCAGTGCCTTCAAGTAACAGAACTCTCGTCCGGCGACATACCACACCCATTCTGGGGAAATTCCTCTTGAGCAGACCGTCTTATGGAGGCACGATGCTTTGAGGAGAGCCCAGTCGGATAATGGTTGGTCCTGTTCTGCCTTCCAGCGACGACCAAGCTCATGATCCATTCGTTTCGGTTGGATGGCTCGGAACTTCTCATGCACCGTTTCAATCGCAAGGCGATACTTCTCCCAGTCTCTAGCTTCGTCGGGAGTCGGTTCAATCTGGAGGTTCAGCCTTGCCCATATTGCGTCCACCTCTTTGATTTGTTCAAGAAGACCTTGCTTACCCTCCAACAAGTCAGTAAGCATCTCCAAGTCTACAGCATCTGGCCCTTTGATCTGTCGGCCCGATAATCCTGTCGTAGCATCAGAAGTGTGCTGTCCAACCCGAAACCGAGCTGCTTGTCTCGTCTCTGTCCTATGCTTTTCTATCGGAGATGACCAGTAAAGCCAATGTTGGCTTAGATCCCTATCGTAGTTGAGTACCTTTCCAGCGTCTCTTAGCCTCGCGAACTTTCGTAGCGCCTTTTCTTTCAAGGTCTCGGCAACGTCGAACCTGAGGTAGTCAATTATGTTCAAGAGCTCGTCTCGCTTCCTCGAGCTTCCGGCTTTATAGGCAGGCTCTTGTAAGCTGCTGGAGCCACTCGATTTCATGCGGATTTTGTGCCACTCTTTCTCCGGAAGGTCCCAACCCTGCTTGGTGCTATCGACCAGGAAACCTGCCAGCGCTGCCAGTTTCACGGCACCAGGGTGGGATAGTTTGTTGGTTTCTCGTGTTTGACTGAGGGCATAAACTAACTTTTCATGTTCTGACGAGCACGAGCCTAGCAAGTTGGGCTGCGCGTTGAAAGCAATACATTTGCGGAAATAGGTCTCAAAATTTTCATCGAGTGGGCGTCCTTTTTTGAACATGACTGATAATAGTTCTGAGCGCTGAACCATACCACACTCAATCTCTTTCGGCATTTGTGGCATCTCGGCGTTGCGAAAATGTCGAACAATCTCTGGGTCCCAGATACATGTTACCACATCTCCTACATACCCACATGGAAACACGTCAGCCTTTTCTCACCAAAATGTACATGATGAACTGGGATGTCAAGATTAAGGGAAGATGTAGTCTACCCTACGAGACTTACCATCGTAATCGCCGCCAGATAGCAGTGAGGCGAGAGGGACAGCACCTTTCTGTGAGAACAGAATAACATTCTTGTAGTGACGCAGCTCATGTTTATAGACAGCTGTGCATTTTTGCATGTCGGATGCCAGATGTGCTGGATTTCGAGCAACAAGGAGTTCAAGACCTTCGAGCGTGGTTTCTCTGATCTCGGTGACGGGATGTATAATAGGGTTCGAAGAACCCAGATACACTTCCCCAGGTGCAAGCACGCCTAATGGATCCGGTGCACAGAAGACTGCCGTAGAATGGGGTATCTGAATCCGCATCTTGTCCGTATAATTGGTCATGTAATCGCTGAGTAGACGATAAGCATTGGTGATGAGCTTCTTGCACATTTGCGGATGAAAGCCAGACTCCAATAGGACTTTTATCTGCTCGTTGTTCTTGGACGGGAACGAGCCCAAGTAGCTCCGAGCCGTAACGCGGGATGTATGTGTATGCTCTTGCATCCAGAGACGAAGCTGTTTCGGATTTTTCATAGCGTCTGTGAGAGACGCCGAGAACGATTGAACATCCGACTGCAATTTGTCTCGCAGTATGGAGGGTGGAATCCCCCTGTCTTCGAGGATGGTGATGAGTTGGATATTCAAATGTGCTTGCTTGCATTCGCTGGCATATTTCAACACCTCAAACGTTCGCAAGGTTGGGTCCGAATCTGCATCATCGCGGTCGCGTGGATGTGGTTTGACCTTCAATTGAGACTCGGATACTTCTATCCAGTAGCCTCTGTCGCTGACATCGGCGTGCATGTTTTGGTAATCCACTAACCATAAACCCTTACCACCTGAGATGCGTCCTTGGACAGCAGAAGGTGGCTCGCCTTCGCCGCCGTACGCTGCCCAAATCGCTTTGGCGAGTGGGTAAGACATTAAAGCGCAGCCATCATTCATCACTTTGCTGTCTGAACCGTCAAGAGGCATGTCACCAAGCTCGTCATGTTTGTGTAAAAACTCATGCCGTTTCAGCTCTACCGTAGGAGTCGTCCTCGAGAATCCAATGCTCCATCTGGAGAACAGTTTAAGATCCTTCGAACCAGAGTTCGCATCGAGGGGCATATGCCACTGCATCACTTGTTGTCGCATAATAGTGCGGTGTTGACCGTCAGCCTTGAGGTCCGGCACATTGAGTTTCAAGAGAGGTCGTGGCACAATGTCGAACCCGGTCTCTGCGAAGAGGATGAATCTTGAATGCCGCGATGACGCCTTATTGCGCCGTGCTTTAGACTTCAACTCTTCGACAAAGCATACTCTCCAATAGCGTCCTGCAATGAAATGCGAATTTGACGCCAGAAGATCAATGATCTTGTCATACACTGGTGCAGTCTTCGAGCTGAGTGCTCGAAGTTTGTCCGGAATCCTAAAAGCGGGACCGTCAAGAGCAAGGAATCTGTCAGCACCAAATTTTCGATGGAAGCGGCTTGATTGCACCAGCTGAACGGCATTCAGTCGAAGCTGAAGTAGGCTCTGGGAACCGTCTTCATTCCATTGCAAGGTGCCGGTGAAATGGGCGACGCTGTTCGTTCTTATATCCGTGTAGTTGCTTTCTTGCGTAATCCACCGAGGTAGGTTTGATTTCTGAGGTAGTGGTTGCACAGCCTTTGCACGACAAAGCTCCTTAACTGTAGCCCAGAAATCTTCACCAGACATGGTAGATATCTTGTTGGTTTCTCCAATCTTCTGGTATAGGTCGATTGGTTTCAGGCCAAACAAGGGCGCAAGTCGGTGCAATTCCCAACAATACCAAAACGGGACATGTGGCGGTAGCATTGCTTGTATTTTAAAGGGGCCATTGACTTCGAGACTGGTTGGGTCGAACGGGCTGGCAGCCTTGCTCAATTCACTGAAGGAAGTGGAGAATTGGTCATCATTGAATATCTCATTGTAATCTTGAGTTGGAAATAAGTTTTGTGACTCTTCAGCCTGCGAGCTGACCATGGATGTGTCATTCGATATTTGCCCTCCGTTCCCTTCATCGGCACTCGAGAAAACGGATGACGCGTCAGGAGAAACCGCAGTCTCAAAGCTGATGGGATCAGGAGGTCGGTCTGTGCGGGTTTCTAGACGAGGCTCTGAGATATGTCTGAATTGTCGGAACTCTGAGAGAGTTTGCTGTCGCTTGTTTTGCTGTGGCGAAAAGTGAGCAGACGGAATCTGAAGTTCAGGGATAGGACTGACCCCATTAGGAGAGGCCAATGTGCGCTTTGAAGATATTGAGATAGGGTGTTTCAAGTGTGGCTCATCCAACTCAGTCTCCTGAGCCTCAGATTGCTGCTGGATCTCGCGTGGTGGGGTTGAGAAGTAGTCTTGCCCCCATGGCGGTGCTTCTTTAACTGGGGTTGTCGGAGCGGTCGCAAACCCCGCGGTCGATGTAGTAGCTGGCTCGGTTGAGAACGCATCCGAGAGTTTTGCCAACTCGTAGTCCTCTTTTGCTCCCTTCAATATGGCGTATAGAAGTTCTAGAAGTGCGCATCGCTGGGAATCGCTCAAACGGACCGGGCCAGCCTTGCGAGCAACGAGACTTTTGACCACGGGCAGCACAGGTAAGGTGCCTGGTTCTTGTAAGGGCTTGAAAACCCATTGAGAGTGAATTGTCCGTGCGCGCTCCTTGAACTTGTCCAGAGCTGTTTTCGTGGTAGTTGTCTTGAAACAGAGGAATCTGATTAGCTTCGAGCATTTGCCAGCCAGACGTTCCGACTCATCGGCGGGAGGATCTTCCCCACCACGGAGCTTGGGAAGTCTGAGATCCCATTGTGTATTCAGGCTGTCAATGGTCTGGTCAATGTTGTCGCTCATCTCTTTTGGTGTGGGTGGCATGGCGATTCTGGTCTTGTACAGACCATCAGCGGCTGAGTGGCTCGTGTACGAGCGAGCTGCAAGAACCTGTTCTGGTGTTGTAGCTCCGATTCAGCAGCTAGCTATATAAGCCCCAATTTTAATCCTATGAACACCCGAACTCCGCTGATAGAGCACTGTCAATGAAGCTCGATTGTGTGCAAGGCTGTGCGTATCGAGGAGCGAAGTGAACATCTTGATGCCTGAGGCATAATCAAGCATCGAGTGGGACAGATGGTAAGTTCGAAGGCGGGACGAGGGAAAGAGATTAGTGGTAAAGTGAGTGAAAGGGTGTCGTTAGTGACCCCAATGAGCCAAACAGGTGCTCAGGATTCAGGAGAAGGTGCGGGACGATCCTGGCGATGGTGGGCACCCGTTGACCAGGAGGGAAATCAACTGGCACCCACTGGGCGCATTTCGATCGCTGACCACTGCGTCCACGCGTAAAGTGGTTCAACCTCGTCAGGCTGACAGGGTCTGGCGCACGGTTCAGGCCATCCCGAGTATTCATCAACACCTGCAGGCGCTGGTGGCGCTGTCTTCGTTTCCAGCCCAAGAACCCATTTCTGAGCCTCAATCCGTTCGATTGAATCCCTACAATCATGTCCTCGCATTCGCAGCAGCGCTGATTTTTCACTGTCGCAGTAGCACCATAGTGAGAACTAAGTACGAATCCTACAAAGAAACAAGAGGAAGGGAAAGAAGATATCCGGGAAGAGCATGGGTCTTTTATTTCTGCTTCATGAGTAGGCTACAAGCACTACCCAAGGACGAGTAGAGAGTATTGGCACTTTATCCATACCGACAGCACAAATGATGCCTAATACGGGAAAGCGGAGGCGTCGGTCGTGCTCTGCCAGCCAACCATTGCTTGCGACACGCTTGCGACACCATCTGCTTCCTTTTATTACTTTCCACACGATGCACCGAGCACTCCCTGTAGCCCAACTGCTTCCTGCTCCTCGTAACTGCTCAAGAATATGCCTCGCCACTCGTCGACCTTGAGAGACTGGGCCAGAGTCGTGGACTCGTTCAATCATCATCAAAAGAGCATCGTGTACGATTCTCACTTTAAGTCATATTCAGACTCTCACTCCTTTCGACGATGGCCACGTGGGTTGGACGATCCACTGTATTGTGTGAGCCAAAAAACATTGATAGAATGGCAATGAGTGAATGACTTACAAGCTGATTCTCCTTGCCACGCCCTGCAGGTTAGCGTCGTTCTCTGCTTCAGTGGCCGCTCTCTCCAGTGCAGCTCGCCTATCCTCGGCGCTGCGCTTCTCGATTTCCTCTGGCGACGGTGGGAGGCGTTCGTTTTGGAGATCAACTTTACGAGCGTCCTCAAAGTTGTGGATCGCCTGCTTGATGCCCTCAGCACCCAACATCAAAGTCCCTGCCGGCAGGCGACCTCCGGATTGAGTCTTCAGCTCAGTGACGCGTTCAGATTCTTCACGCAAGACTTGGAAGACCCTGGAAAGTCGCCCAATGGCGAGGATCTTGTTCTTGATGGCTCGCCGCTTGGCTTCTGTGGATTCTGGATCGGCGCCAAATGGAGGTGTCTCGGGTTCCATGCTCGAGCTCTGTGTATCTTCCTCCAATTCTTCCTTAGAGCAGGTGTTAAGGATGGCAATCAGCATGTCTGTGATCTTCTCACCGACGAAAGGTAGAGACCATGTGAAGACATCCATGAAGTTCGGAAGCCAGTAAGGATGAGGGGTGCAGTTAAACTGTCTGATGTTCATAACATTGTTTTCGTATTTGAGCACTGCAGCTTTGTTGTTGTAGACATCAAGGTAGTTTGGCGCGCTGAAGATGGTCATGACACTGGGGAAACCAGTTGTTCGCGTCTTGCGGTACATCCGATAGCCGGCATCCTGAGCCTCGTGCGCACGAATGATGGAGAGGAGGTTGTTTTTCTCAAGGAAGTTGCAAGCGGCCGGATAGGAAAAGAAATAGGAGCAGCCCCTGACGTGGTTGTGCACATAGTATTCCCCGGTCTTCTCTTGACCGAATTCCTCCAGAGGATCGGCCCAGAGGATGTCACACATGAGGCCATGAGTGGGAGGCTCGCGGAATCGGTCAATCTGGGAGTATTAGCTCAAGCATGGGCCAAATCAGAGTCTCATCACGACTTACGCTCTTGATATCCTCCAGGGTGTGCAATTCTGGGCTTAGGCCACCGTGTATACACAGAAACTGCTTGTTCATGACAGCAGCCAGTGGCAAGGCACAGAAGGAGTCCATGCATGCGTCGTAGACCTTTTCCGAGTATTTGTGTTTGCATTCGAGTTTGAAGGTGAAGTAGTCGGTCAAATGCCTGCACTCGTGATTTCCGCGAAGAAGCCACAAGGTATTTGGGTACCAAATCTTGAGAGACCACAAGTAAAGCACGCACTGGATAGACCGTCAGTACACGAGGTTTCTGAGCAGAACGCGGGGGTCGTACCTCAATGCTGAAGTACCCACGGTCGACATAATCCCCCAGAAAGAGATATCTAGTTTCAGCAGGATCCCCGCCTACTTCAAACAGCTTCATGAGGTCAAAGTATTGTCCATGGACATCGCCGCACACAGTGATGGGAGCATCCATTTCCAGCAGATTTGGTTCCGCCTTCAGGAGTTTTGTACCCTCACTTATGATCCACAAGGCTTGCTCTTCAGTCAACCGACCTTCTCGGTAAAAGTGTTGCTTCAGGAAGGACAGGTTCGGCTTTGATCGGTCGCTGGAAGACCAAAACTGTTCGTTCGTGGGGGGTTGCATGGCCGGAGCCTGGACATCTGCCATTGCATCAGAAATGGCCTTCGCGCGAAACCTCTTGACAACCTACCCTTGCATACTCGTTCTTGAGTGCTCACCTGGGAGCCATCTTCCATGATATGCAATGTGAAATCAATCTCTGGCACGGGCTTCTTATCCACCACGGCTCTGTGTAACGGGCCATCCATCGTGATTGTGAGGTGCGCTCCGGGCGCGAACGGTCTTCGAGAGGGATGAAATATACCAGCGCTGAGTCTGCGGAGAGGAAACAAAGATATCGGCGACCTCTTCAACGGAAATGGTCAGCAAAGTTGATAGGGGCAATGTTAGCGCCGGAGGGAATAATTGTTGCTCGTCCTCGTGCTCAGGAGGTGGTTGAACCGGCGTTTTCGAAGTGACCTAAGAGGCAGGTGATCAAGTGACGAGGCGGACTTCTCAGAAGCTGTCGCAGAGAAGATTGGGATGCGGTGAGGAAAGATGTTGCCTGCAAACACGGTGCAAGAGCTGAAAAATAAAAGTGGGCAACAGTTGAAAATCGGGGGCGGCTGAAGCTGTACGAGTCCGATTTGCGACCTGTTTCAGGAGGATTGGGATTTTAGGGTCCAGATCCAGTTCAGGCCAGGGCTGAAATTCCCCAAGAAACTAGAACGCACCCAGTCCAACTGCACCAAGCGGTTGCGCCTGCAAATAGACAGATGCTTGGGTGATGGATTCGTTCAGTTGCGCAGGATTGATATTTGGGTGAACCTCTGAGAACTAAAAGCACATCGCTCTACGGAGGATCTGAATGGTGGACAGCGGGTTCTGTTGATGGAGGGGCAAGGTGGGAGAGATCAGACGCCTTTCATCACCTATGATGATATGGGGTCCGACGTGGTAGCGAGGCATGCGCTTCACCTCCATTCGCCATCGTATTACCTTCACGCCTCTGCGAACTTTAGTTTACTACTTGTCATCACCAAAGTCCCAACTCGCCAGATACCTCGATGGCCTTTAGGTACAAGTGAGACTCATTCTCCAATCACACTCGAGCTGGCCCGCAGTTGGGCTTGGAGGTCATTTTCCCACTGCCTAAATGTAACCACCGATCTCACAACTACCAGACATGTTTGACACGCACAGTAAGTGCCCAGGCATAGGCCTTCCAGAGCAAGCAACTTCGAGACCGCTAACCACTTGAACAGAGCCACATCCACTGCTTGCGCAGGTTCCCTTAACTGTCTCGCCCTTTCTGTCGCTGCCGACTGCTGTGACACTGCCCTACACATTTCGATCTGTACCCACGTCGCTTCCCCCGTCCATCATAGCTGAAAATGGCCCTGGAAAGCCCAAATATATCACATCCTCCTCTGGGCACTCTGCCCATCCAGATGATATCATAAACTCTTGTAATGCCCTCCAAGATCACCTCAAAAAGACCCTCGAAGGTGCAGACAGAGCCATCAAAGAATGGGAGCAAGAGATCAAGGATCGAGATCTGGCAGAGAAACGCAGAGTGGCGCCCGGTTGGTTGGATCGAGAGGAGAAGATACTAGAGCCTACAAAGGCGTCCTCGAAGGCAGGGGTAGATCAGAATCTGCTGGACGGGCAGCCTGGGCATGTCATATCAGCACCCGCAATGTCACCAAGCCGTGAAGGGGAAGAGCTGGATAGAGCTTTTGGAGGTCTCGGTCTCAAATAAAAAAAATTGAGTCATTGTGCCACACCCCGGAGACCTGTGGTTCTTCGCCTAAGTGCAGCTGTTACATGCTCATTTCAAATTGAGGGTTCTGCCAGCAATCGCAATTGTGCTGCTGGCAATCATCCGGCGCTATCCAGAACGCGTCATGATATTCCTCCTCGCTATCAGAAGAGACACCATGTTCAACTCTACTACTTCTGCAGAACAACAACTTCCGCCGGACGCGTTGACGTGGTTTCTCGACGACCCATTCAGGACATGGAACACAACTATACTCTTCATCATCCTATTCTTCGTCCTGTGCGGCTGTACCATCCTCCTCGGTGCTCGATATGCGGAGATATTCAGATTCGGTACAATTTTTGCCGACGAGCTTCCATTGACTCTGGAAGGGAGACAGGCTAGTTGCCCATGGCGTGATGGAGATGGAGGAGATGTAGGATGTTTACCCGGCGGAAACCTCCTATTCCAAGCGACAAACTCGCAAGATGACCACCAGTTTGACCTTAGACGACGTCCAGGAACCGCCAATCTTCAGCCTAATTACGTCGCGATCGGAAAAGTTCGAGAAGGGAAGATCGCGCAGCGACGGGCATCATTGTTGGAAGCCTCTAGTCGAACCAAACATGCACATGGCCACTTGACATTGAAAACCCTGCCCAGTTCCGGGAACTAGGCTATGGTGTTCCAGGCCAATTTATGGAACGGGCCAAGCCGGCATTGCACCCATCCAACCCACTTCGGAGAGGCTACAGCCAGTACGATTCGCATCAATTCGACCATCCTCTCAGCGCGGTGCACGACCTAATTATGAACACTGGAATCGAGGGACTTCGAGATTTGGCGTGGGGTTACCCTGCTGGTTTATGGCAACACCTGGGAGCGGTTTACAGAAGTCTCGGCGGGACAAAAGCAGGGGACATCTTCCACAGTAGGGCTCCTAGATGCCAATAAATGGTTATCTCTATTCATAACTGTTCACACATCCCTTCCTTACGCGCTACTTGGTTCTGATATGCTAATGTCTAATATCATTGATTGCGTGGACACAAGATGACTCAATGCGGGAAACACGGCACAAGTGAGCTCTTCTCTAGAACAGGTTGGTTGGCTTCGTCCAAGGGTGTTGGTTGACAACCTCGACAGTGCTGACATTTTCTCACGACATTTGACGTCAGTCGCGCTTAGTCTGGTGGGATCATCACCTCAGGGAGTCTCTCGCTCGCCGGCGAAATTCGTTAAAGCCCGGCAAGACGGAACAGCAGATATTGCTGGTCCACAAGGTTCCGCCTGGGACGGCATGGCGGAGTGGAAGTTCTTCAGCCAAGACGCTTGGCTCTTAATTCCGCTCCATTCAATCGGTACCGTGGTCCCGCTAGCTCGCTATTTTGCTTGGCAGGCTTTTGCTCCCCTAGAACGCCACTCAAGACATGCCTCCCTCAGCATTTCATCCCTCTTCATTCCTAGCCACCTTTAATGGCCATCTAGGTGGCTTTCTAACAGGCAACATCGCCTTACAGAGATGTCTGACTCTGAAATATCAATCGGACGTCTCATTCTGTTTCAGAACTCCGTTTCTGTCTCTGTTCCCAAACAGCAACCGCAAGTATCAAACACAGACAACTCTTTACAGGGTAAAGCGGTGCCAAGGGTGCAGAGAACTTTAAAAAAGACAAGACAGTTTTTGAGCTTACGATATGCGTACTACATTGCACCTGCGAGACCCACAGCTAGGGTCGAAATGTTGCCCCAGGGTGATACTGCAGTCACCCCATGTCCCCTCACGGCTCTTGGGACTATATCGAGGGCGCATGCTGCTGTTCAGCTGGAAATCTCTACTATCCCGACCTCGAAGAGAAGACAATAAATCATGGACAATCACACTTCTGGCCAGAGTAACAAGCCCCTAACCAAGCCAGCACACGCCCTTGGACGAGATGATCTTGTTCAGCAACTGGACACCTCAGTTGGTATTGGACTGACACCAACAGAGGCGTCTCAGAGATTGCAGACCTATGGCCGCAACGAGTTGGATGACGGTCCAGGCGTACAGCCACTCAAGATCCTCCTGCGCCAAATTGCTAATGCGATGATGCTGGTCTTGATAATGGCCATGGCAGTTTCGTTCGGAATCCAGTCTTGGATCGAGGGAGGCGTTGTCACTGCTGTGATACTTCTCAACATTGTGGTCGGCTTCTTCCAGGAATTTCAGGCTGAGAAGACCATGGACTCGCTACGCTCACTCTCTTCACCCACCGCTACTGTGGTCCGTGATGGGAGCAACTTGACCATTCCCACGGCAGAGCTCGTTATCGGCGACCTCGTCGAGCTTAAAGTCGGCGACACGGTCCCAGCAGACATCCGGTAAGATTTCAGTGGAAACTCCTTAGTCCCTTCAGGGTACTCACAGCGCACAGGCTAATTGAATCCATCAACTTCGAGACCGACGAAGCACTCCTCACTGGTGAATCTCTACCTGTTGCGAAGGATGAGGAAGCTATTTTTGATGAAGAGACGGGCCCTGGGGATCGACTGAATATAGCATTCAGTTCTTCCACAGTCACAAAAGGTCGAGCCCGAGGAATAGTCTTTGCGACTGGCATGTACACGGTGAGTGACTTCGCATCCTGAAAGGGTTCGGGAAAGTGCTTTCACCTCAGGTTGTCACTCTTACCTCTGCTCTTCTTGCCCACTTCAATACGGATCTCTGATATAGGGACGCAGGAGATTGGTTCAATCGCGACGGCACTCCGTCAAAAAGACTCCAAAATTCGCCACGTTAAGCATCGCGAGAACGGCACCGTGAATCCCCTACGCTACGTCGAGTCCTGGACGTTAACCTTTACCGATGCTGTCGGGCGTTTTCTCGGTGTCAATGTGGGAACACCACTGCAGAAGAAACTCTCCCGCCTAGCGATCCTGCTCTTCGGAATTGCGGTCGTCTGCGCCATTATTGTCCTTGCCGCCAATGAATTCTCTGACCGCTCTGAGGTCATCATCTACGCTGTCGCTACCGGTCTTTCCATGATCCCGGCGTCGCTGATTGTTGTCCTTACAATTACAATGGCTGTAGCCACGAAGAGAATGGTTCAACGCAATGTCATCGTTCGAAACCTTAAGTCATTGGAGGCCCTTGGTGCGGTCACCGATATCTGCTCGGATAAGACCGGAACTCTCACCCAGGGCAAAATGGTTGCCAAAAAGTGCTGGATCCCAGCTCGTGGCACCTACACAGTCAGCACCTCAAACGAGCCTTTCAATCCAACGACGGGAGAATTAACCTACTCTGAAGCAGCCCCCGCTGCGCGAAGTGAAGTACAACCTGAAGATGGCCCCATAACCAAACCCAACGAGCTATTGGAGAATAATGACGCGTTAAAGGACTTCTTGCTTGTGGCATCTCTTTGCAACATTGCTCGCGTTCAACTCAACAACGAGGGAGTCTGGGTTGCCATTGGTGATCCGACAGAAATCGCAATTCAGGTGTTTGCCTCTCGCTTTGGGTTCAACAGGCAAAGATTCCTCGACCCAAAGCAAGCTACAGTGAAACAAGTCAGCGAGTATCCATTTGACTCGGATGTGAAAAGAATGTCTACTGTGTTTGAAGACCTCGAGACAAAGGAACAAATGGTTTACACCAAGGGTGCAGTCGAGCGTGTTCTTGATGCTTGTACTGGCATTGACTGGCACGGGACAGGCGTCGTCGACCTGACGGATGAAATGAAGGCAGCAATTCTAGAGAACATGGAAGTCCTGGCCAGTCAAGGTCTGCGGGTCCTCGCCCTTGCAAGCCGTCCTTACAATCCCCGCTCCGGTCGGCGTGCCAGTCGAGAAGGGCCACCCCCCCGCGGGGACATTGAACGGGATCTCACTTTCCGCGGCTTGATTGGTCTCTACGACCCTCCTCGGCCAGAGTCTGCGGATGCCGTCAAGAGCTGCCACCGCGCCGGAGTGAAAGTCCACATGTTGACAGGCGATCATCCAGGCACTGCTCGCGCCATCGCTGCACAAGTTGGCATTCTTCCCACCGACCAATCTCTATTCTCTCATCGCACCTCGCAAACCATGGTTATGACAGCAAAAGAGTTCGACCGTCTCAGCGATGAAGAGCTGGACGAGCTACCAGCTTTACCCTTGGTTGTCGCTCGCTGTGCCCCCAACACAAAGGTACGGATGATCCAAGCCCTTCGTCGACGAGGCGCTTTTATGGCCATGGTGAGTTTTGTTCCCGTCCCTGCTTGTGGAAGAGTGCCGCTAACTTCCAAAAGACTGGTGACGGAGTCAATGACTCCCCTTCGCTGAAAATCGCCGATGTTGGAATTGCCATGGGGCAAGGGGGCTCGGACGTGGCCAAGGATGCTTCCGACATTGTTCTCACGGACGACAACTTTGCATCGATTCTCAACGCTGTGGAAGAGGGCCGCCGGATGTTTGACAATATCCAGAAATTCATCCTTCACCTTTTGGCGGAGAATATTGCACAAGCCTGCACGCTGCTCATTGGCCTAGCATTCAAAGACGACTCGGGTCTCTCTGTGTTTCCCCTAGCACCAGTCCAGATCATGTGGGTCATAATGATCACGTCTGGCATGCCCGACATGGGTCTTGGGTTGGAGATCGCCGCGCCGGATATCCTTCAGAGGCCACCGATTTCGCTGAAAGCGGGCGTCTTCACCTGGGAACTCTGCTTCGACATGCTCGTCTACGGCTTGTGGATGTCTGCGCTTTGTCTATCGTCCTTCGTTTTGGTCATGTACGGATTCGGAAACGGAGATCTCGGCGTCAACTGCAACACGTCCTACTCGGCGCAGTGTGATACAGTCTTCCGGGCCCGCGCCACGACTTTTGTCAGCCTCACCTGGTTCGCCCTCTTCCTCGCGTGGGAAATGGTCGACATGCGCCGAAGCTTCTTCCGCATGCAGCCCGGCAGCAAGAGGTACTTTACGCAGTGGATGTACGACGTGTGGCGCAACCAGTTTCTCTTCTGGGCCATCGTGGCCGGCTTCGTGACCATCTTTCCCACCATCTACATTCCGGTAAGTGAATCCCAATTGTGGAACCATATACCTACCCCCCGAATGGAATGGAATTATATGGAATCACCCCTCCCCCCCCCCCAAGGGACCAGAACGCAACCACTAACGTCCTTTTCCACTACAGGTCATCAACCACAAGGTCTTCAAGCACACCGGCATCTCCTGGGAATGGGGCATCGTCTTTGTCGAGGCCCTCCTCTTCTTCTTGGGGTGCGAGGCCTGGAAATGGGCCAAGCGCGTATACTTCTGCCGACGTGCGGGACTGCATCCGGGCTTGACGTCTGCCGACTTGGAAAAGTTGGTCTTTTCGGACTTTGCTTCCTCTGGAGAGGAGGAAGATGCAGAACGCGGCCTTGTCCGGAAGGGGGTAGCCACCGAGAAGACACAGTTCTAGCAGAAATACAGCACACAGCAGACGAAGCGGGTTTAATATGATGTAATGTTATAATGATATCACGCTCGTGCGGGGCCACAGACCGACGAGAAACAGCTACATAGATAGCTATATAGAATGGGGCAAGCGACTGATTTGAGAGTGGTGCTGGTATTCACCCCGTTGAGCACAGAGAATTGGGATTTTATCTTTGCCGCGCGGCTGCGGCACTCACCAGAATCTTGCCTTGTTACATACGGTGCCGTCCTAGAACGCGCTCTGTGGAGGAGGCGGGCAAGGGACGTCCAAGACTTTACTTGAACGACCAGGCATGATGCAGAGATATGATACAATCAGTGATACATAATAATTGATAATACATAACTGAAGCAACCTACATGGCAACCTCAATAACGCATCGCGCCGACTTTCCGGAACTGGTAGCGGTTATTGCGGCAATCTCGGTACTTATACCGACTGCATGTGGGTACCGTGTCGGGAAATCTGTATACAGATGAATACCAACCAATGATCGAGGTTCACGATATACTCGCTCGAACCAATTCGCTAGAGAGAGATAGGAAATGGCAAAGACCAGCATTTGAAATTATCATGTCAGGGAAGATCCAGGTTGAAAAACTGCTCCCACTCAAGCTCGCCCAGGCCCATCCGGTTGGTACCAAGGGACGCGGGCATCGCAGGATGATGATACCATTGGTCACCGTTGCCTGTGGCGTCGATATCGTTGTCATTCGAGTCTGGGATATTGTGCGATTGACATTCCTGGAGCACACCGTCGAGTCTGGCGATGTCGAGTTCCTTGCGTTTGCGGTGGACGCCGACCAGCACGCGCGCCGCGTCGTAGGCCTCCCGCGTCGCGCTCGTCTTGTAATGTGCGCTCACATCTTCCAGAGCCTTGAGGGGCTGGATGAGTTGGGCGAGAGACAGGCTCGTGTCGATGGCGAGGAGGGCGCAGGCCGCTTGGAAGGTCACGTTGGCGACGTGCCACCAAGGCCGTTCGGTTCTTAGCAGCACGCGAGCGGCGTCGACGGCCTTGGACAAAGCCGACAGCATCCGCTCTAGGGTCTCCGTGTTGGGACTTGACCCTTGCACCCGCAGTCGTCGGTATATGCAAAGCATCACGTTACACTGTACCAGCACCAGCATGGGCTGCGCGGACTTCACGTCGAGGGCCCTCCGCAACAGGTTCTCCAGCTCGGGCACAGTCTGGTATTTGTCGGGGGAGAGAATCTCCGAGACTAAGTAGAGTTCGAGTAGCTCGGGTTTGATGCCGCCAGGGTCGGGCGACGGGAGCTGACACGAGGCACCCCGAAGTTCGACCCTGGATCGGCCACAGTCAAACGAGATCCAGATATTGAACAGCTGGGCGACTAGGTAGATCCTCCGACGGCTCTCTCGGCCTTCTTCTGCGCCGTTGCTCGAGGGTAGCGGCTCGTCACCCTCGTCAAAGTGTAGGCGGGCAGCTTCCAGGACATGCATCATCGTACAGGTCGCCATCCAGGTGATATGGGGCGAGGCGGTCAGCCTCAGGTACATGACCCGAAGTAACCAGGCCACGACATCATCCGTGGATGGGGTAGGGAGTAGAACAGACTGTGCTAGAGCAGCCTGGGCGGATTTCGCAAGCTGCATTTCGAGGCTCAACGGCTGTTTGGAGAACACACAGCCTAGGGCGGCAATTCCGCAGAGGACCGAATCGACACAGTCGTATGATTGCATAGTGGCGTTGTCATACCAGCGCGTGGCTATCAGCCTCCGAACACTGTTCTCGTCCAGAAATCCGTAAACGGCATGGATTTCTTTAAAGTAGACGGTGGCCAAGGCTTCCATCTCGCTCAGGCTGATGGTTTCGACGATCGGTCTCGGAACAACATCAGCGGGTGTCCCTTCATCTCTCAATCCTAGATTCCACGCCGAAAGCTGTAGCCGCTTAAGGCGCGTCGAATCAGCTGTCAGACCAAGATTCCGAGCAAATACCGCGCCCGAATTCGCCTCCAATGAGCGGAGCTGTGTTTGCTCAGTCCGTACGGGCGCATTTCGTTGGTCGTGAATGTGCTGGGGTTGATCGGTTTCGGACGTTGGGGACGAAACGCTGGATCGAACCCCATGATCGAGCGTTCGCCTAGAAACACTGCTTGACCGCGGCCGTCGATCGACGACGCAATTGTACTCGAAGTGTCTGCAGGCTGAACAAGGAATCCCACCCTCGCACTTCCTTTTCCGCTCCCTGCAAGGTCGACAGGCCGTTTTGGCCCGTTTGCGCAAGGACTCACCCAGCATTGTCGACGCTAGGCTCTGCAAGGGGTGATCGAGAGATCGGTGGGGTGGGTATGGGGGACATCTATACATGTTCGATAGTAAGGCAAGCTCACTCAATTTCTGCCTGGGTGAGGAGGGGCATAGAGCCTAGGCACGCTCCACCACTGTTCAAAACCCCCGCCTCCAACCCTTGGAGCAGCTTCTTGCGGTAATTTAGCGACGAGGCCAGCTCTTGTGTGGCGGGGAGAAGGTTATGTTAGGGATGTTGTATGTCGCAAATGGGCCATATTACTGGATGGTGGATGGGTAGTAAGTCGGAGGTGGGAAATGGCTCTGGTGTCTCGATCAAGGGTGACCCACTCATCTTGGCGGCAAGTGCGGATATTGCGGGCCGGAGATTATTCGAAGCCGCTGCCGACTCGCCGATTACCCGTTACTGCCTGGTATATCAAGGACTCTGTACCGATTAGAACCCGCATAAACTGGTTTTACCTAAGCAAAGCGCCCCCATCAACAACGTTGACAGTACCCGTCACAAAATTATTCCTGATTATCGCCAGAAAGGTCTCTGCAACATCTCCAGGCTCCCCTATCCTATCGAGCACAGAGGCCTTCTTTGCGGCTTCGGCGACTGCCTCGCCCGCTGCTGCGACAGCCCGGTCAAACAACTCCGTCCGAATTGCTCCCAGAGAGACGAGGTTTGCGCGAACCGGCTTGAGCTCCAAGGTGAGGCTCCGCGTCAGCGCATCTTTTGCGCCGCCCACACCGGCCCACAACAGCCAGCAGGGTGGGGGTTTATACGTGCCCGCACCGCCGGTCAAGGTGATCTAGGACGTGTACGTCTGTTTGAGGTACTTGACCGCAACCTTGGCAAGGATCAAGTCGCCGATGAAGTGGTACTTGCTCGCTGCGACGAGGTCGTCGGATGTCACTTCGGCGAGAGTAATAGGGTTCGGCATTCCACCAGCGGTGCTGACAACATGGTCGACAAGGTTTATTCCATTATCAGTGGCGAAGTCAAAGACCTTGGTGAGATCTTTCTCTGCTTGCTCGCTGGATAAGTCACATGCGATACCTCGGACGTTGGTGGCTGTATGAGGCTAGGAAGCCTTGAGTCTCTGCACTGCCTCGTCCACACCTCCCTGCGTCCGACTGACAACGACGACTTTGGCGCCGAACTCGAGGCTTGCTACCGCAACTGCGAAACCTACGCCGGATGTTCCGCCAACAATGACAAGCGACTTGCCGCGGAGCTTGTCGATGTAGTTTGGTGACATGGCTTCAAGAGCTTGATACCAGTGAAGAAGGGGAAGAGGTCAGAGAGACGATCGTCAGGAGTGGGAATACATTGATTTGGCGTCACTTTGCATTGGCGGGAGGTTTTGCCATTTATACTATGCTCCTACTGTGTTTGGAAACTTGTCGGGTAGGCGGAACGTCCGAAGCGCGTAGAAACAAACACAAGGAATGCTATCACCAGTACACGCTCTGGATTTCTTCGACATCCTCGACGGTTGGAAGACGTCCGGCGATCTGGCAGGGCTTGAGGTGTCTGCCGGCTGAACCACGCCCCTTGGTGATATGCTTATAGACCCAATGTTTTCATTTGGGTGTCGTCACCATACATAGTATTCTAGTGCACGATGCTTCGTCTTGGTCTCAGACTGTACTAGATATTTTTGACACCAGGTCGACGTCTCATCTACACCATTTGATTCGCCGATCTCCAAGGAGGGAATAGTCGTAGTCGTCGACCCCCTATTCCCCACTTTCCCCAGAGTCCGCAGCAACCGCAGCAGCCGCAGCAGCCGGTAAGGCCGGGGTGGCTTGCGGGACCCCGAGATGCACCTTTATTGAATGCATCTCCAACTCCGAAAGAACTCTTAGTCGATGTTTTTCGCAGCCTCAGCCTCAGCCTCTGTCCTTCAATTTGTTGAATGAGCTGGTCGATATTAAACCACGAGATTCTTGCACCTCTCAAAGGCATGACCCGCCTCTCAGGTACTCTGCAAGTCACCATCACCAGAAGCCACACAGATCGACTCGCATCATGAACTCTTCTCCCCACGGTGGCGGTGAAAGACGGCAGGGGACAACACCCTACAAGCCCATCCAAAGAATCAGTCAAGCTTGCCAGTACTGCAGGTAACCAATGCCTCATATATCTTTGCCGATTATTGCATTCGGGGCTGAAAATGACTCGCTTCCAGACGAAGAAAGGCGAGATGTACAGGCGACCGTCCGCAATGTCAGAACTGTCGGAGAATGCGTCGAGGTACCACACATCGTGATCCCTTTACTAGCGCGTGCTAATGTGGCCCATAGAATGCGTCTATCCAGACACTGCGCGCTCCGAAAAAGCCCGGCCTGATAATGACGATTCACTCAAGCAATTGTCATCTCGCTTAGAGGTAAATCTAATATATTCTATTGTGAGAGAAGATGCTCATGTCTTATTACAGGAGGTTTGCAACCGCCTCAGCAACATCGAGGATTTTCTCCGCGAAACTAAATCTTCTCGGACCCGGTGCGACGTCTTCTTGCACGCTTCACTGCCGTTGTTGTAACTGTATGCTGACGGAGAGACAGAACTAGACCATCGGCCGACACAAGTCCTGCCAACCAGAGTACCTCCGACTCATGCCCTGGACTCCTTAGCATACCAGGATACACCAAAGACTTGGGACAGGATGGGACAGAACATTCAGAAGGAGATAGCTCGACGTATGTCAACAATGATGTGGCCTTGACCGACGAGCTCTCGCTGGCAGGGACGATCCCATCTACCGTCCTGTCAGAAACCGTCGACATCTATTTCGCTTATTGCCACAACCAGCCGTATTCTTTGTTCCACGAGGCCAATTTTCGACAACGGCTCAGCTGTGGGGAGATTCCACCCCATCTTCTGTTCGCCATCATGGCATCGGCGGTGCGCTTCTCGCACAATCCGTTCTTTGGGGATCGACACAGCATGGCAGTATTCTATGCCAACCAGTCCTGGAAATCCATCGTGTCAAGCTGCTTTTCAGCCACTCGAATCGAGGATCTACAAACGCTACAATCTTTGACATTGCTCTCCATTTTCGACTTTTCGGGTTTGTAGCCTTTTGTTAATCTCCAAAATCGACGTCGTTGCTGACTCGTTATAGCAGGGAAAGGCCGACACGCGTTAGCATGGGTCAAAATTGGACTGTCCGTACGTATTGCGCAGTCAATGAGACTCATGATGGAGAACCGCAACGCCCTGTCCCATGCCGATCAAGAAGAACGAAGAAGAGTCTTTTGGTCTCTCTACCTCCTCGACAAGCTTGTCACTTGTGGTCGTGCGCAGCCACCCGCCATTCTGGACGCATCTTGCCAGTTACAGTTGCCATGCAGCGAGGTCGCCTGGAGAGCTGGCTTGGAGCAGAAGACTCTGAATTTGCAACAGCTCTTTAGCCGAACGGGTTCAAACCCGGTCGCTTATGACGCAGGACCCTTCACCAATGTCATCGCAATGGCATACACCCTCAGCCGAGCAGCGCAATACATGCTGCAGCAGTTTAACATGCAGAATCAGGAGCCGCCGTGGGACGCCAACTCGGAGTTTGCCGGCATACAGTCCGATCTTCTATATCTAGAGAGCCGCTTGGAGATGCACAAATCACCAACTGAAGTTATGGCCGGACACACAGTTGATGGAGAAATCGATCAGCAATCTGCTGGACCAGCCATATTTTCGCGTGCTTTGTTTCACCTCTGTTACTGTCTACTTCACCATCCTCTTCTCCTGCGGCGTCGGCTCGAGTCCTGTCACATTCCTGGCCCGTCCAGCTTTCTTTCTCGGGCGTTCGACACCGCATGGGAACATTCGAAACGGCTCACTCTCCTCTTGCAAGAAGCCCGGTACTCTGGTGCCACGACGCGTGCTTCGTTCTTCGGCTACTGCACAGTCGTGGCAGGCACTATCGTGGCTTTGCATCGACATCACTGGTCTGAGTCCAAGAGACTTGAGTCTGCCGAGCTTTTAAAATGTAACATTAATTTTCTGGATGACCTGGGCCAATTCTACAGGAATGCTTGTTCGATTGTGAGTGGCCCTTAAGTCGATCTTGCCCTGACATAGCTGACCCGACCCAAAGGGACAATCTTTGAAACGTTTCACCGCTGATACATCCGCTTTTGCAACCCTGATATCCAACTCAGCACTGCCTGAAGGGCTGACCACGGAGAACTTCGAGTGTCTGTGGGATTTGGTAGACTACAGCACCATGTCCGATACCTCTCCGGTGTTTGAGAGTAGCCCGTCAAACTCCAACATCTGGCACTACAGTGACGCCTGTTGGGACGAACTCTTTGGATCGTTCGACCTGGCGGACTTTACCAATCAGTCAATCCAGTTCGACGTCGGATCCTTGATGGGGGACCTCACAGAGTCTTCCCAACTCCCGTACACTTTTTGATGGAGCAGTTGGCCCCTGAAAAAGGGGACTGTTTAAGCAAGGCAAAGTGACGGGCTTAACTTGTCACTTGTCGCACGGTCCAGTTGAATATATGCAAGTTCGTGATGCCGAAGCGAGATGAACCTCTGGAAGAACAACTGATCGTTCGGCACGGCGCCTACAGTCTTGCTCTTACCGTCTTCTCCAACTCTGTGGCATCTCGTTTGCTCCATTGTTTGACGACGTTCCTCTGGATCTTCCCACTTGGTAGCCTGGGGATGGCGTCCACGATGCTCACGCCACCTTTCAATGCCTTGTGCTTGGCCACCTTCTCCGCCACGAACTTTTGGATCTTCGGTACCAGATTCGCCGTTTTCGAAGCGTGCTGGTGTAGAGTCACGTACGCCCTGGGATATTCCTCTCCGTGTAGCACGACTCCCACCACAGCAGCGTCTGTTATGGCATCGTGCTCCAGCAGCACAGCCTCGAGCTCCGCAGGGGCGACTTGGAAGCCATTGACCTTGATCAACTCTTTGCTGCGATCGACGATCCACCATTTCCCGTCTGCGCACTTTGCGATGTCGCCTGTCTTTAGCCAGCCGTCCTCGGTCAGAGTCTGTGACGTGGCTTCCTCATTCCTCCAGTATCCCGTAGTCATCTGGGGCCCTCTGATCCAGAGCTCACCGCCGACGTCTCCACTTGTCTCCTCCCCTTGCTCGTCCACCAGCATGGCCTGCGTGTTGGGGAGGAGGGAGCCGACACTCCCGGTATCGTCGGGAATTATCCCTGGGACCATCAATCCCGTACACGTGGTCTCGGTCATACCCCAGCTCTGTGCGATGACGGCCCCTTTCAACTGCGTGGCGACGGCGTTCTGCAGCTCGCGGCTCAACGGCGCCGCCGCGCTCATCAGATATCGGACCGAACTGAGGTCGTACCGAGTGACCTCGGGTCTTTTGTGCAGCATGGATATCACCGGCGGGACAACCTGCAGAGTCGTGATCTTGTACGTCTGGATGTGTCGCAAGTAGTCGTTGAAGCGGAAGTGGGTCATCAAGAACACGGGCGTGCGCAGCTTGCAGACGATGACGATCGAGAAGAGCTGGGCGTATGCGTGGTTCAGGGGCAGGAACGCGAGCCAGCGTTCGGGGTAGACGGTGACGGATGATTGATCCGCGTTGTGTGTTTTGGCATATATGACCTGGTTCATTATCATCAGCATGTCATACCCAGCATTGTTTGTTGCTTCGCGCGATTGATACGGGACATGGGGGTTGCCAGAGGCTGAGGACATACCTGACAAGCATTTGCCACCACGTTTGCATGCGAGATGCGCACCCCCTTGGGCGTCCCCGTCGTGCCAGACGAGAAATTCACACAGCTCACCTTCCTCCTGCTCTGCTCGCCCCGCAGCGCATCCCACCGCCACGCCCGACTCTCTTCCTCACTGGCCAGCATGCTCTTCCAATCCCGCACACCGTGCTTGGAGACCTCGCAATCAACATCCGAGAACTGAAACACCCGACTGAGCGACAACCCGGCCGCTTCTGCCGCCTTGACACCACAGTCCAGCAGGGTCGGGTGAACCAGCATGAGCGCCGCGTCACTCATGCGCAGCTGCCGCGACACTTCGTCGACCGTGTACGTCGGGTTGGCGCCGCTGAAGAAGCATCCCGCGCCCGCGGCCGCGAGGTAGACCACCGGCACGTAGATGTGGTTCGGGGACAGGACCATCACGGCGCGCTGGCCGGGGATTTCGAGCCGGGAGAGACCGACCGCGAATCGTCGGATCAAGCGTAGGGTGTCGGCCACGGTGACCCTGATAGAGGGATTTGAGGCGTTGATCCAGAGAGGGA